AAAGGGACGTGGAACAGACAGGGAGGACCAGACAGGAAAGGCCGGGGGACAAAGAGGAGCCCAAGGGAGCCACGGTGGGTGACGGGCGGCAGCCGGAGGAGCCGCAGGAAATAGGGAGGCAGGAGCAGGAGGGGACCACGAAGGGAACAAGGAGACAGGTCGAGGGTCAGACGGAGGAATCGAGGAGGAAGACAGAGGGGGCACCAGGGGAGACGAAGAGGGAGTCGGAGGGGAGCCCGATGCAGGTAAGGAGGGAGGTGGAGCTGCGGCTGGCGACGGCACAGCCAACCGACGAGTTGGAGGAGGGGGAACCTGCAGGCAACCGACGAGGCGACATTGGGGAACCTGCAGGCAACCGACGAGGCGACATTGGGGAACCTGCAGGCAACCGACGAGGCGTCGGAGGCAGAGCATGTGAGCGGAGCGAGGAGCGGAGCGGGCGGAATTTGGTCAGAGCGCAGAGCAGGTTTTCTAATTAAGGCTGGAGCGGTCGCTTTGTCTCGCTCCAATTTCGCTCCGATACCGCTCACACTACAATTCTGAGGCGTGCCCAAATCTACCCAGAATTCATCTGTACAATTATCAAGACTGTTACACAAATTGGCAGAGATGGAATTCGCAAAGTATTTCACAAAGAAAACTGATAAATCATACAAGTGTACTATTCTTATCAAACGTATAGATGACAAGAATGTACAGCAAGAACAACAATGTGGTGAAACTGTTTCAGTGAGTAAAGATTCACTTTGGAATCACTTTTCTGAGAAACATGAGTGCGCTACGCGAACAAGCGGAAGCCAGAGCAAAACGCCTGTGCATTTGATTTAAAAAAGTTTTATATGGTTGTAGCATATCAAGTCTATAAAGTAAATTAAAGTATAAAAGCCTATAAAGTAAATATTGGTAATCAAATAAATTCGTTTTGTCATTCAAAGTAGGTCTAATAAGATTTTTTTTTAATTTCACGTAACGTAAAATTTTATTTTAGAGAAGTGCTGCATCAACAGAAAAAAATTGAGGAATTTAAAACGTGTCTGTATATTCTTTAGGCTATTAAACCCACTGATTCCTTTATTTTTAAGCCTATTTTTGTGTGGAATGCCATTTCCAAACCTGTCCGTTGTTGCCGATAGGTTGCTTAAAAATAAATATTTTCTGTTCTGACTGGCAATGTTGCCGTTGCTCATATTTCTGTATGACATAAGGCTTCAGTTTAAGGTGACATTTGTTAGGCATGCAGATTATTTGTTCCTCTTTTAAATTGGAGCGAGCGTGGAGCGATTTGACTGGAGCGGGAGGACATTTTAGTGGAGCGAGGAGCGGTGTTGAGCGGAGCGGCTTAGTGCGAATTAGAGCGGAGGAGCGGGCTGAGCCAACAGCCTCGTGAGCGAGGAGCGGAAATTCTCACCGCTCCGCTCACATGCTCTGGTCGGAGGCAGAACCTTCAAGTGACCACCGAGCCGGAGCCAAAGGACCCACAGGCGCCCCCTGAGCCCCAGCCAAGGCAAGAGAGGGTGAGCCATGGGGCAGGGCAGGTGGGACCCTGGCCCTGCGCCTGTGTCCTCTCCCCTTTCGGGACACTGAAAGCCGGGGTTCTGCCCGGGATCAACCTCGCCGGGGCAAGGGCAGAGGAGTCATTAGGGAGGTCCCCGAGGGGTCCCACTCAAGCTCCTCCTCCTCCAAGGAGGGAGGAGCGGTGGTCAGACTGTCTGGGACCTCCTCCGGGACTGGGACTGGTGCCAGGGGAACTGGAGCAGGGTCAGGGACTGGGACGGACAGAGCCTGGACCGGGGCATCAGGCGCGGGTGGAGCCGGACAGGGGCCACAGGCATAGCAGGAGCAGGGGCCCGCTGCCGTAGCTGGGATCTTGGGTGTTGGTGGAGCTGCAGGCGGCTCCGGGACCTCGGGTGGAGCAGCAGGCGGAGATGGGAGCTCAGGCGGTGCAGTAGGCGGAGGCGGGGCCGTCGTAGTAGCCCCAGGTACAGCAGCAGGTGGAGGTGGGGCCGTCGCAGGAACCCCGGGTGCAGCAGCGGGCGGAGGCGGGACTGCAGGAGGTGCCGGGACCTCGGGTGTGGGCGGAGCCAGAGCTGCAGACGGCGCAGGGACCACCGACTCAGGACCAACAGGGAGCGCTGCAGGGGCCAGAGGGACAAGTAAGACAGGCACGTCAGGCGCCAGCGGGACAGGCACGTCAGGCCCGCTATGGTCAGGGCTAGAAAGGCGGGCGTTGTCCCTTTAAGAGTCCCCGCGACCCATAGGATAGCATCCCACACGGTCCTGGCCCCCGTATTAGCACCACCCAGAAGTGATAAGCCGCTAGCGGCGGCTGCTCTGCAGCGGCTAGGCGGGCTTTTGATAATTGCAGGGGTGACACAGCGGGGATGACCACGGCAATTGGGGATTCCCCCCGATCACCAGGAAGGAGAGAAGCTGGGGAGAGAGAGGCGGCTCCCAGGAAGATGGTTGGGGCTTCCTCTGGCTTCTCCTTTTGCTTTCTCCTCTTCTTCCTCCGGCTCGTGGTTGTTGGTGGAGGTTGCACCGTTTCCAGGAGGACAGACGGTGGGTTTACAGCCTCAGCAGTGCGCAGTTCCAGACAGTAGATGCCCTTGCTGCGGCCGTCTTCACCACTTGGAGAAATGTTCCCACTCACCTGATGGCAATGCTTGCATCAAGCTTGCCGCAACAAAGTTTTGAAGTGATCAACAATAACAGTGGAGCTACTTAGTACTGAGTTCATGTTTGGAAGTTTGATTTCTGTTTTGGGGGGGGTTTACAGGTTTTTTTGGAGGTGTGGTCCTAAATTTTTGATCAGCTGTGAAACAGCCTGTTTCAGTTTAAGCGTTGTTTTCAATAAATTGCATGCTCCAAAAAATGTTTCGTCTCACTCCCATTTCTTCTTGTTGCATATTGAAGCTCTACTTGGAACCTTGTTAAGATCCAACCATGCAAAATATGATTTTTTGCCATTTTTCAAGTGGTCTTAAACTTTTGATCGGGACTGTGTATAGCAGTGGTTCTCAATCCTGTTCCTGGCGACCCACCTGCCAGAATGTTTTCATTCCAACCCTACCTTAATCAGGCTTATATGGTCCTTAATAGGCTAAAGCTGGTTACAGACCGAACGCGGCATGCGCTGTGCTCGCCGAGAAGCTTCTGTGCAAAGAGTAGGCGTGGTTTTCAAAACTCTGTCATTTTGGCTCGCGGTCAGTAGCGACAATGTATATTTCGCATTTAAAAAGATTCTACGCTTGTGTGATATAGCTCTGGGAACTCAGACACGGACAATATAAGTTTTTCCTCCATTTCACTTTCTGTGCCCGGTTCAGTGCCTTGTTTCTATTGATCGCGAGACAATGTGTCACAGTGCGCAGAGATCAAAGTTCAACAAAGTTCATCTGTGACCACAGAGCTCGCACAAGCTCCGTGAGCGGCACGCGGCACGGAGCGCAGCGTAGTGTATGCCGCATTCGGTCTGTAACCAGCTTTAGCCTATTAAGGATCATATAAGCCTGATTAAGGTGGGGTTGGAACGAAAACATTCTGGCAGGTGGGTCACCAGGAACAGGATTGAGAACCACTGGTGTATAGGTCGCAAAAGTGATCAGTGGGTCTAAAGCTGCCCCCTGTGGCACAAAGCACTTCTGTTTCGAAAACCGCAACACATCAAGACAACGCAACACATTAAGAAAACACATTTTAAAAATAAATTTGCTCAGTTTTTGTTTTATATTTTTGTTTTTGTGTTCTCAGTGTTCTGCGTTCTTAATTTTTGTTGCATGTGTTAATGTTGACATGCTTTCAAGGCTTTCAATATGGTGGCCCAGATGGGTCAACATAATGCAAAGGCCGTAATACAAATACAAAAGCTACAACATGAATGCAAACACCGCAACATGAATAAAAAAGCCACAACACAAATGTCGCAACACGAATGCAAAAGCCACAACAGAAGTGGACCACAATGGAAATGTAGCAATAACGTTACACCATTTATTATTCTGTTTTAAACTAATGATCAGTCTGCTGGCCAGGAGGGTATTCCACGAAGCAGGATTAAGGGAAAGTCTGACTTTCTTTAGCTACATTCATGGAATAACCCCCAGGTTCCTTAACTTAGGTGTGAAAGCGCCTTACATAGCGTAATGTTTTGATGTCATTTAGGCCACTACACATCTGCTGGTAAAGACGGAGGCAGTTTAACCAAGCTTAATTTTAAGGTTGAAATAGAGCTGCCACCCATCCTGAATTTTACCGGATCCTCCAGTATTTAAAAATGAAGCGCTGTGTCCCGTCTATTCGTGGTTTGACCCCTCCCCCTCCCAAATTTTTTACTTTATCGTGAAGGAAGTCCAGTATTTCTTCAGATGTAAAGTGTCAACAACCATAGGATNAGGCACACAAATCTGGCAAACGCTTTAGGAATATTACAGCAAAAACAGAGAGACTCAGGAAGAGCTTCTATCCTCATGCCGTAAGACATCTCAACGGAGGGAGTTTAACCAAGCTTAATTTTAAGGTTGAAATAGAGCTGCCACCCATCCTGAATTTTACCGGATCCTCCAGTATTTAAAAATGAAGCGCTGTGTCCCGTCTATTCGTGGTTTGACCCCTCCCCCTCCCAAATTTTTCACTTTATCGTGAAGGAAGTCCAGTATTTCTTCAGATGTAAAAGTGCCAACAACCATAGGATGGAATGACCTAAAAACACTACAAAAGTCTTGCATTGCAAATAATTCTTAGCCAGCAGCACTTCTGTCGAATAGTATTGTGAGCCAGGACGCTTTACCAAACGAGTCAAGACTGAAGAAGTTTTATGTGTCACATGCGCAACAGATCACAAAAGTCTCTGTCATATATGTAATGTACCTAACAGGCAACCGTAGCTAATAAATCATCCAGTGAAATGTAACAATGAATCACTCCTGAGACTGTGCATTTGATTTAAATAAAAAAAGACAACTAAACATGGTGATATGGTACACAAGTTTTAATGTTCCTTCTCGATCATGTTAAGTCAATGGAGGTGTTATACTTGGTATACATAAACAGATACATAACTGGACAAGCAGTATGTACACAAGTAAGCAATATGTACTCAAATAATTCAAAATTTAAAGTGACATTGTGCTTTGCAGAACAGATGCACAAATGGCAAACTAATTCGTTCCCTCGTTTTAATTATGTCGTGGCCACGTTTTATTAATTCGATCCCACTTTGTTTGTTTTTTTAGAATGTCCCTATAATTTTGTCAGTTTGTCATGAGAGGGGCTCCGTACTGAAATTAGGTTTGATCGCATAGAATTTGTGCAGTAACATGCGCAACAGATCACAAAAGTCTCTGTCATATATGTAATGTACCTAACAGGCAACCGTAGCTAATGATGTCAGTAAAGTGACACAATAATAAAAAGTTGTTCTAAGCACAGCACATGGTCACACATGTATCTTTTTATATTCGCTAAAGGAACATTACATGGTGTCAGAACAGGATTCAATCCGTAGAAGATGGAGCAATTGCAACCCCCTTCGCCTCCATGTCTACAAGGCAACCTCGCAGAAAGCTGGAAGCTATGGGTACAAAAATTTGACCTATTTCTAACTGCGAGCGGAATTGCCGAGAAGTCAGAGAAAATTCAGTGCGCCACATTTCTGCATGTCGCGGGAGAAGAAGCTGTGAATGTATACAACACGCTAGAATTCACAGAGGAAGAACTTGATAAAATAAATGTGTTAAAAAACAAGTTCAGAAACTACTGTGAGCCAAAAAAGAACGTACCGTAAATTCACCACTTGTTCTTCAGGAGAGCTCAGGGTCCCTCTGAAAGCATTGATGCGTACGTCAAAGACCTAAAAAACAAGGCAAAAGATTGTGAATTCAGTGAATTAAATGACTCATTAATTAGAGAAAGAATTGTGTGTGGTATCAGAGATGATCAGCTGCGTGCAAGATTACGGGAATCAGATCTCACACTCAATAAGGCTATAGATGTCGGTCGTGCAAATGAGGTAACATCCAACCAAGTAAAAGTGCTGAACAAAAAAGTTGAAGTCAATAAAATTCGGAGTGTTGGAAATACAAGAACTACGAAAGTAAAACAAAAACAGCCTGTCCTGAAAACAAAAGCAGAGGAAAAATGGCTCAGCATGATCAGAAAACTAATGTAACTTGCTGCAGATGTGGTTATGAACATAAAACAGAAACAGCATCCAGCTTATGGTCAAACATGCAAGTCCTGCAATAAAAAAAAAAATCACTTCGCTAAAATGTGCAAAACCAAAAATCTGAATGGAATAAGGAAAATGCATGCAGTTGGACAAGAAGCAGAAAATTGTGACTTATTCATAGGAACTGTACGTAGAAATTAACACAACAGAAACTCAAAAACTGATCAAAACGGTCACAACCAAAGCCTCAAATGAAAAAAAGAGATGGACTGAAAAACAACAAGAACATTGCCTTCAATGTGCTCAATGTAATGTTATCTCTGCAAAAGTCTTCAGATCTCTTGGAATAAGCACACTGAACTGAAAAATTCAACCTGCAAACTGCTTACTTATTCTGGCCACCAGATGTCGCCAGTGGGTAAGGCATCACTCACCTGTGAGCATAAAGACAAGATATTTAACATTGAGTTTCAGATCAATGACAGAGATGCACCAGCGATATTTAGACGTGAAACATTATGCCTAGTAAGAAGAATACAGGAATACTAAAAAACTTTGATGATTTATTCACTGGTCTTGGCTGCTTACCAGGATGTCATCACATCCAGAGAGATCCTGAAGTCCTGCCTGTGATTCATCCTCCCAGAAAGGTTCCCATGGCATTAAAAGACAAGATTATACAAGAGCTACACAGAATGGAACAAATAGGTGTGATTGCTAGACAATCAAAACCAACTGACTGTGTAAATAGCATGGTCACAATTGTGAAACCACACAAGGTAAGGATATGCATTGATCCACAATGTGTCAACAAAGCCATTTGTCGTGAGCGCTACCCACTTCGTACAGTAGAAGAGGTGATATCCAGCATGCCCAATGCAAAATTGTTCTCTGTGCTTGATGAAAGCCAAGGATTCTGGCAGTTCAAGCTAGACGATGAAAGTTCCGCACAAGTGGTGCATAGGGCAAGTCGTGGGCGGGGTCTGGCCGGGGAGGCGGAGCAAGGGTCGAATGGTGGACAAGCTGCTGACGACAAGGCCTGTGGGTGGAGCGGAAGATGCAGCGGCACGTAACAGCTATAACACAGATGCCACCACCAGAGGACAAACAAGCCCTCATGAGATTCATGGCCATGGTTCAATATTTGTCGAAATTCATTCCCAAACTTTTAGAAGTCAGCACTCCTCTCAGAAGACTGTTAGAGTGTGACACTCAATGGCACTGGGAAGAAGAGCAAGCACAAAGTTTTGAGAAGATGAAAATGCTGTTAATAAATGCTCCAACACTGAAATTCTACGATGTGAACAAACCTGTAACACTATCAGTAGATGCCAGCTCTGAAGGCATAGGAGCAGTAATTCTCCAAGAAGGAAGACCTGTTCCCTATGGATCACGTGCACTCACAGATTCCCAACGCCAATATACACAAATAGAAAAAGAGCTGTTAGCCATAGTGCATGGTTGTGAAAAATTCCAGCAATATGTGTATGGCAAAAAAAATTCTAGTGGAGAGCAACCACAAGCCCTTAGAGACAATATTCAAAAAACCACTGCACAAAGCACCACAAAGACTACAGCGAATGTTGCTCAGACTTCAAAAGGTACAGTCTCAATGAAAAACACAAATCTGGGAAAGAAATGCATATTGCTCATGCATTGAGCAGAGCCAACCTCAACGAGTAACCTGAAAATTTGCTTGGTGAAGAGCTTGAAGTCAATTGGATAACACCCCAGTTACCCATAACTGAGGAAAAGCTGACCATGTTCTCAGCAGCAAAAGCTGCTGATCCTGAGATGCAACAGTTACACACGATGACTATGAAGGGATGGCCCGAAGAGAGAACTGCTGTTCCCAAGGAAATTCAGACATACTGGACATTCAAGGAAGAGATAAGTTACATGCCAGGGTTACTGTTCAAAGCTGCCAAGCTCATCGTACCAAATCAGCTGTGACAAGAAAAGCTTGGTAAGATTCACGAATCGCACCTAGGAGTGGTAAAATGCAAAGAAAGAGCAAGAGACATTTTATATTGGCCAAATATGTCAGCACAGACTGAATACTATGTGCCACAATGCACTGCATGTAACACCAACAATAACAGCAATCCACAAGAGCCTCTAATTCCACATTCACTACCAGGAAGACCATGGTCCAAGATCGGAATAAATGTTTTCCACCACAATGCGTCAGAATACATTCTCTGTGTGGACTACTACTCCAAGTTCCCAGAGATTCTCAAATTATCAGACACCACCACCTAGAGCAGGGGAGTCAAACTGCAGTCCTGGAGGGCCGCAGCCCTGTGTAGCTTAGTTCTTTCCCTGTTCCACTGCAATTGATTCAACTCAACAGCTATGTGGTAATTAGCACAAGTTGAATCAGGTGTGTTAAATGAGGGGAAACCCAACGAGGGGAGATCCTTACATTGCAATGTTAGAATACCGCAAAATGCCATTAGAAGGTATAGGTTACTCACCTGCACAACTACTGATGGGTTGTCGGGTGAAATCTAAACTTCCCACGTCCACCACTTTGCTGACACCTGAAAGCAAAATTCAGATTCATGACAAGCTGAAGGAGAAACAACTCAAACAGAAATGTTATTATGACAGACAAACAAGATGTCTTCAAAACATTCACACTGGAGAAAAAGTGAGAATTCAGAAAGCAGATGGTTGGCATCCGGCAGTTGTAATCAATAAACATGAGCAACCAAGGTCTTTCATTGTCCAGACACCAGATGGAAGAACATACAGGAGAAACAGAGAACACCTTCTGAAGACAGGCAAAAAGGAATTCAAACCAGAGAATGAAATCTCAATATCTATTCTGAGCCTGATATCAGTGACTTCAACTCACCTGCAGAGGTCACATTTCCAGAACAATGCACCCCACCAGATGCACAAATGACGGGAGAATATTTCACAAGGTCTGGCAGGCAAGTGAAAGTGCCAGCAAGGTATAAAGACTGAACATATACACTCACCTAAAGGATTATTAGGAACACCTGTTCAATTTCTCATTAATGCAATTATCTAATCAACCAATCACATGGCAGTTGCTTCAATGCATTTAGGGATGTGGTCCTGGTCAAGACAATATCCTGAACTCCAAACTGAATGTCAGAATGGGAAAGAAAGGTGATTTAAGCAATTTTGAGTGTGGCATGGTTGTTGGTGCCAGACGGGCCAGTCTGAGTATTTCACAATCTGCTCAGTTACTGGGATTTTCATGCACAACCATTTCTAGGGTTTACA